CTGATTCACCACTTCTTTGTTTTATAAATGGATACTTATTTTGCAAAGAAATGTTAAAAGTACACTTGCGTTTAGGCATTATTGTAATGTTACAATCACTAACATTGAAAATAAATTGTTTGACTTTGCTCGCCTTCTCCGACTCCGCGATGAAAAGATACCAGAACAATTTAGAGCGTCTATGCTTAGGGTACTGACAGAGTGACAGAATCTTTTTCTGTTTTTATAAGCATTTTTAATTTGGTGATTTCCCTTGTTATGCTGGAGTTAATGTCAACGCCGTCGACGACGCCGAAAAAGTTGAAACAGATTGAACTTTTTCGGCGTCGAATTTCTTACGGCGTTAAGATTAACTGCTCTCATAAAATTTCAAACGATTCAATTTTTTTTTGGCATTTGACGCCGTCGACGACGTCGACATTAACTCCAGCATTAGCATTACAAAATCTTTCGAGTTTATTTTAATGTTAGTGTTGCTTAAAAAAAAAACTATGCAAATAAATTATATGTTCACGGGGAAAAAAATAACTCATGTATTTTTCATCAATATCAATATCCAGTATTTTCGAGAGCGGGACATTTTTGCTCTCGCTGGGGACAGCGGGACAGATAACCTCAAAGCGGGACGTATGGTCACGTTAGGTATGTACCTCCAATTTCGATTAAATATGGAAAGTGTGACGGAATTTGGTGTACAATTAAATTTTGTCAAATTATTGTGATATCGTTTCAGATTGGGATATGATTTTATTAAGAAGCATTGACCCACAACGCCTTTGCAATGGTATTTGGCTAAATGTAAAAAACTACACAACAATTTAATGTATCCTCAATTATTACGGGGAAGTGTGTTGCTACCTCGAATTCTCTAATTGCAACAGAAATTACATTCAACCTCACAAGTTTGCAGTTTCCTGCACGATTGTCATTAATATAAACAAGCATGCATTGGCTAAGGATATACATCTGTCGCAAAACCGACGAATACTTTTTAACTGGGTTTGATTTCAGTTATACTCGAGACCGGATACTTCGATATCCGTACTTAAGACTTCGACTGGTTCGAAAAGTTCCGAAATTTTACAACATTGTCATTGAGCGGTCAATATAAGGAAGACCTTTGAAATTTTACATATTTCCATGAGCTTCACTCTTTCTTTATAAAGGTGTGAGAAGGTGAGATTTTCGGAATCTTATACTTTAAGGATTGTGCAAGATGGCATTGATTGTACAGAATGGCATTTATCGGGCTTATTTTCGGTAATCAATTCGGCAAGTACTAAAAGATACACAATGGTACAAAATTTCTGTCGATCTGCAAAAACATGTATTTTGAAATTTAATATGAAAATGGGCAATATGGGCCGGGATTTGTGGAATTTCGTTAAAGGAACAAAAAGTACTTACAGGTACACAATTTTTTTGGATTGTTTATAGAGATCTTTTAAAAACTTTTCATAAGGAATGAAATACGGCGGAATTTTAAGACTTTTGAACCTAAGAGGTGCCTAAAGTACTGAAATGTACAGAATGGTACAACACCGTAATTGGTTAATCGGTAACAGCATAACATTTAAAATGCAGCTGAATGAAACAGTAATGACCGGCAGGATTGTTCCTATACCACACTTTAAGGTACAAAATGGTATAACATTGTTATTAATCAACCGATATTGATTGATGTGGGTGATTTGTGGGGGGGATTTTTGAGACTTCATACCCTACTGTAAGGGTAAGTACTAAATTGTACAACGTTAATTTTGATCGATCGAAGTTTTGCAGGTTAGCCATTTTTATGTAGAAATACGACAAGATTTTAGAAACTTACTGAAAGGTACAAGATTTTTACTGATCGATTAATAAAAGTCAGAACTTAATATAGGATTCACTCTTTCAGCTTTTGGTTTTTGCACATTTATATCTTAAGGATAACAAAAATAGAGCTAGAATTTTAAAATGAATCTGACTGTTCTGTGTAGATGGGGGATATATGGGGCGTGTTCCAACTGCTAAGATAAGCCCGCCGTCCTCTGAATCGGAAAGTTTTTACATATTTTATGAACATGTTGATTGAAAACTCACATTTTTGTCTGTCATACCACTCGACAGCTCAAAAGTTGGTGACATTCGATGTCGAACAATTTTTTTACAAAGATCCATTTAAATGAAATACGAATTTTTTCGAGTAGTCGATTTTACTCACCATTTGAGTTAAATGCGGGAACAGACAGTTACAGAAATTCAAGTTGTATTCCTTACGAATTGAAAGAAGTCTTAAGATTCCTCTAGAAAAACCGCCTAAGAATGTAGAGTTGAACAAGTAAAAAAAAAACAAGTAAGCAAAGGCTACAGTCGAGCGGGGCCGACCGTTGAATACCCTACAACACTATAATAAACGATACAGTTTATATAGGCGAGATACTCGAAAGAATTCCACAAGATATTATGACAAATAATAAAAGAAAACCATCAGGTTTCGTTCTCTAATTTTCGAATAATAGCAACTTAAACTAGTTTGCTTATTTCCAATTTATTGGTAGATGTTGCACGTAAATGATCTTCTTAGATCTGGAACCAATATTTCCCAAAGACCTATAATCTCTCAGAAGTGGCAAATGATTAACATTTATTTTTTGTTTTTAGACTGAAACGCTTCTATATGAGATACAGACATTTGACTATATTCTTCAACTAAATCAGCGTTAACGAAATAGTCAGAAGTGCGTCTTTCCTGTGCGATTTAGACAGAAGTGCGTCTTTCCAAAACTGCTTGGCTTTTGCAATGTCCGGTAACCCCAATTCAAATGTGCCTAAAGATCGGGCGATAATTACGACCTACTGACAATTTTTCAGTTTTTTGGTCCATTTCAACCCCTAAATATATGGCGATCATCTCCAAAAAGAATAGGGTTCTATTCTGACCCTCATCTTATCTCCATGCAAAATTTCGTAAGGTTCGGCCCATAAATGCGATCTGTATATGATATCCTGATATCCTAACTACTTAGTTTTGTTAGCTAGAAATATTACCAAATGTTTAATTCAAAATGAAAATATGCCAAAAATATGACAAAATTGAAAAAAATATGAGAAAATATTACAAAATCAATATTTTCATCTTTATAGAGATATTTTTATGCGATTTTTTAGGCGTTGTTTCTTTCCTGCCAAGAGGCCATTCTGAATTAATGAGAACTGTCGAAATCAGTTCAGCCGTTCTCGACATATAATAGATCTTTCAAGCATATCTTCTTTGATAGACATATATATCGCACATATTTTGCTATATATCCGATTTATTGGATTTAACATCAATGTTAAGATCAGAAGTAACCTTGTCATGGCTTTGTGATTTCGCTGGGATTTAAAATATTCGCGGTTTAATGAAAAATTTTGAATTTTTTCAACACAAAATATAGGGTCTATTTTACCCGCTAAATATTATCCGATGACCACCTAAATTGGTAGGCTCTAAACTCTAGCTACATGCGAAGTTCCGCGTCGATTGGTCTATGATTGCGACCTTTATAGCTACTGCAAAATCCGACATTTTTTCAGTTTTTTGTCCATTATGACCCCTAAATATTATGCAATCATCTCCAAAAGAAATAGGGTTCTATTCTGACCCTAGCTCCACCTCCATTTTAAATTTCGTCAGGATCGGGCCATAATTGCGACCTGTAGAGTGATTACAAATTAACATGGACAGACGGACAGACGGACGGACATACATAGCTAGATCGACTCAACTCGGCGAGATAGGAAGATCCATATATACTTTCCTATATGGGAAATCAATATTTCGAGGTGTTACATAATTATTGGCCCAATGAAACTTATAATACCCCCAACACATAGTGTTGTAGGGTATAAACATTAAGTTCGGCCGGGCCAAACTTTTAATACCCTCCACCTTAGGGTAAAAGAAACATTAGAAGAAATGTGGCGAAAACCATTAAAATGCCGAATATCGGGAGGTACCGTTATATGGGGGCTATATCAAATCATGGACCCATGCATGCAATGTTTCGCCACCGGAGCTATGACCCACAAATACCAATTTTTAGACAAATCCGTGAAAAAATGTGGCAAAAAAAAACTAAAATACCGAATATCGGGAGGTACCTATATATGGTGGCTATACAACAACGTGGACCTAGACATGCAATGTTTTGCCACACGCTCAGGGACCCGTTTTGACCTACAAATACCAATTTTCAGACAAATCCTTGAAAAAATGTGGCATTATCAAAATACCGAATATCGGGAGGTACCGTTAAATGGGGACTATACCAGAACGTGGACCGATATATCTCATTTTCAATACCAACCATCCTAGACACAATGCAAATTGGTCTGCCAAATTTTGGCACTCTACGTCAAATAATGTGGGCAGACAGACGGACAGACAGACAGACGTACATCGTTAAATCGACTTAGAATTTTATGCTGATTATGAATATATATATACTTTATGGGGTCTAAGACGAATATTTAAGGATGTTACAAACGGAATAACAAAGTTAATATACCCTCCTTTCCAAGGTGGAGGGTATAAAAATTGAAAAGTTTTTTTCTGCCATCAAAGTTAAGGGTCCTTGCTAGTTACTATTAAATTATCAGAGATATTTACTTCCATGCAATAATTTTTCCTTATGCCAATGGGAAGATCTTCAAATAAGTGTATACTATTGAATGGTGCTGTTGTTATATTTTCCCTGAACTATTTTCCTTTTCTTTTGTTTTCTCAACCATGTCTTCAAGTCATATTAACCATTTAGAAATTCCTTCAGCTCTCTCAACATTCGACATATTCCAGTACAAATATTTTGAAAGCATTCACAAAAGTTTTGATATGTGCCAAATGAATTTGTTTCTCTTTTTCATTCGCCAGCTACGTGCCAGTTGTATCAAATAATTTTCTTTTCAAGCAGACGCTGCGATGTACCTTCTGCTGCTGGTGATATTCTTTCATTACCTTAAATTCTTCAACCACTTACCTGTTTGCGAAATAGTATGGCTCGGTACATGGGAGCTCCTTGATTGCCAGAGTCCTGTGAAACAACCGATAAAAAGTATGGACTTTTCTCAGCATCGATGCCAACATAGTTTTGATGTACTGCAGGGAGAGAGAGAGACAAAAAATATAAAACAAATGAAAAGAAACAGACCAGACACAGATGTAAGACAATTTTGCAGCAGAAGAAAGTGTGGAAATACTCGGCAGTATAAAGAAATCTTTTGCTGTGTGAAATGATTCAATGCAACGAAATTTGAAAAATTCTTTTGGTAGAACGTGTTCGGAGCAAATATTCAATGTGTTGAGGTGTTAAAGCATTTGTGTTGTTCACTTTTTTCATGAAATGATATACAATTTAAGACTAAATAGAGATTTTGGGGAAATCAACAAGAAAGTGAAGAATAGTCGATTACGTCTAAGTTTTTGATGTATGGAGATATGCAAAAATATGAACACATTGTAAAAAATAACAATTAACAACAATGGTTACGACAGAAAACATAAGATTTTGTTAAAGTGAAGGAATTTCCTTCTTAGGAATTTATACCATACAGCTTAATGTGTTCGGGGTACTATGAATTTGATTGAGTCAAAAATTATGTAACATCTCGAAATATTAGTTCTGCCCATAGGATGTTATATATGAATCTTCATATCCCGCCGAGCTAAGTCGTTCTAGCTATGTGTTTCCGTCCGTCGGTCCATGTGATTTTGTATTCACACTACAAGTCGCCATTTTTCCCGATTCTCACGTCATTTTGCATGTAGGTGGGGTAATTGTCAGAATAGAAGCCTTTTGCTTTTGGAGATGATCGCAAAATATTTAGGGGTTGTAATTGACCAAAAAAAGAAAATGTTCCCGATTTTGTAACTGCTCCGTAGGTTGCAATTATAGACCATTCAGACACAGAATAATGTATTGGGCTATAGTTTTGAGCAGGACAGAAACCTACCAATTTGGATGGTCATCAAAAAATAGTTGGACGGTAAAATAAACTATAACTTTTACGTAAAAAATACGAACATTTCTACTACACCAAGAATATTTTTTATCCCGGCGAAATCACAAGATACAAAAAACCACTTCTGACCGTGAGGCTGACAGTCAAAATATGGGATATATAACATAGTAGGTACAACTTATATGTAAAAAATATGTTATTTATCTCGCTTTTAATTCAAGAACCGCTGGACATTTCTATTTTACAATTCTCACCAATTCGGAATGGCCTCTGGGCAAAAAAGGATATTGGAATTGAAATCTACTGTTTTTGAAGACGTATATTTAGGGATTCGATTGGACGAAAAAATTGAAAAAAAATGAAAATTTTCCTGGTTTTGCGGTTGCTTTATAGGTCACAATTAAAATCCTACCGATACGGAATTTGGCATGAGGTTAAAGTTTAGGACAGCGGAGAAATCAAGAATATTGAATAAGCATTGAATTATTTTTAGGGGGTAAAATGGAAATTGTTTTGAATACCCTTATTGTGGGACAAATACCACAGGTCAAAAATCAAAGTTAAAATTTTTGCAGCTATGTTTTGCAATATTTCAAAAACGAAAATTACCAAAATGAATTTGAAGGGGCGGCCAACTAAAATCGTTAATGCTCGCAAATTGCGTCTTATATGCTGGAGGATAATGAATTCGGGAGCATTATTTCAATAGAATTGGTTTTGACAACATTTGGTGAAATTATTTAAAGGCTTTATTAGTTACAACTATGTTTTTAGTACTTTTGCCAAATTGTGCAGGCTTACTTCTGTCATTGTTCGGAAAAATTGAGGTGAGTCTTGTGCATGGGCAGAGTTTTTGGAAATTCGTAGTAAAAGTATACGAAAATAACTTAAATAATTAAAAAATTGAACGCTTTGTATTGGGCAAGCGCAATGAGCTAGAATTCTGAAATTTGATATGAGGGTCACTGAGGCACTGCAGAATAGATGTACCAAAGGATTTTAGAAGGTGAAATTCTGTAATTTGATATTAAGGTAACTGTTGGTATCTGTGCTTGAGATTTGACGGGGGCTCGGAAATGCTTTCTATATATCTACGTACTAAATAGTACTAAATTTGGCATTAGGTGAAGGGATAGGACTGGAATACTTAAATGTGATTTTGAGGTCTACATTGGTATCTGAAATTCAGATATGGAAGTGGTTTTGGAAATGAGTAAGAATAGTACTAGATTAGGTATTGGATGAAGGATTAAGTTTGATATATATGTCACCGTTGGTGTCTGTGATTGGCAGAAGGAGCTGACTATGGTTATGTGTACTATATTTGTACAAAATGGTAATATTTTTTGGTTGGAGTGGATTCTTTGTGGTAAATTGCAGAGCTGCATTCTGAAATTTGATTTAGGGTCACTCTTGGTATCTGTGCTGTAGATTTGGCGGTGGTTTGGGAAATACGTACGATATTTTTACGAAAAATACTAAATGATATTAAATTTGGTATTGGGTAAAAGGGATAGGGCTAGAATCCTAAAAATTTAATATTTAAGTCTCTACTGGTATCTGGATACCTAGATTCCAGGGGGTTGGTTTGGGAAGGTGTACTAAAGTACTAAATATTACTAAATTTGGTATTGAGCGAATGTGCGGAGCTGGAATCTCGAAATTGAGAATAAGTGAGAGGATAGAGAAGAAATCCTGAAATTTGATATGGTTTCAAGCGTTTCCATATGGGGGTGTGAAATAGTTTTGGGCAGAAAAATAGGATATAGGACCAGTGGGAATGGGTCGTGTAGGACCACTTTTTTGCTATATTCCATAGGAAGGATAATTTTTTAGTTATTATCTTTTTGGCAACACAGCGTTAAACAGCTCACGCACGTTTCGTGTTTTGACTCACTGTCAAACATTTTTAGCTTGATCTATAATTTAATCATAAATCGTCTTACAAATGAATCATTGGATTTTATTATCAAAATGTGCTCTCTGTTAAAAAAAGTTCATCACGTGCTTCTTTGACTTTATAATTGGTTTAGTCGACCCAATAGAAGCGGATATTGTGACTAAATTTCTCAAAAAAAAAAAAAAAAAAAAAAACTTATATCACATACTGCTCCGTCGCGGGCCGGTTTCTGTTTCTAAAACTTAACAAATTTACAGGAGGATGTAGGTGAGAAGCACTTTCAAATATAACTGGTGGAGATATTGAAAGCGAATGTCTTACCGGAACACGGAACTTTTTGGTAAATGCATTTTTTTTAATTTGGTTGAAAAATTGTGTTCTGCGACGAAATTCATTATTGGCTCATCGTGACGTTAATAAGCAGAATTGTCTATTTTGGAGTGAAAATCCTTCGATTTAAGCCTTTAGACCAGTCTTTGTGGGGCTATGTTGAAGCTCATTTCCATACAGACGAACCCACCTCAATTGACGCACTGGAAGACAACATTGAAGTACATTTCCGTGAGATACCGGCTGAAATGTTCGGGAAAGTATGCCAAAATTTGACTTAGCGCGTGAACCATTTGAACAAGCCGATTTTTGACCAATTTGGTGACTCACTTTTAGTTTAAAAGTTTCGATCAAAATAGTTCTTGTGTTGTTCCCAAAACGGGAACCTCTATAGACAATTTTATGCTTCAAGGATTGTCATCTAAAAATTCTTCTAGGATTATGAAAATACGGAAATTTAATGGGTAGCGTTATATGTGTGGAAAATGTGGACCTAGATATTCAATGTTCTACCACGGGAGCTAGAACCCATTATGAACTACAAATACCAATTTTTAGACAAATTCGTGCAAAAATGTTCCAAAAATCATACAAATACCGAATATCCAGAGGTATGTGGGGGCTATACAAAAACGTGGACCTATATATACAATGTTTCGCCACCGGAGCTAGAACCTTTTATGATCTACAAATACCAATTTTTAGACAAATCCGTGAAAAAATGTGGCGAAAATCATCAAAATGCCGAATATCGAAAGGTACTGTTATATGAAGGCTATACCAACAAGTGGACAGATATATCTGATTTTCAATACCAACCATCCTAGAAACGTCAACCAAATATCCTAAACAATGTGGGCTATATCGTGATTTCAACAGACAGACGGACAGACAGACAAACAGATATCGTTAAATCGAATTTGGAATTTTATGCTGATTATGAATACATATATACTTTATGTCTACGACGAATATTTAAGGATATTGCAAACGGAATGACAAAGTTAAAATACACTCCTTTTCCAGGTGGTGGGTACAAAAATTGGAAAGACACCTATACACAGTTTTCCATTTTTAGGTCAACTTTCGAAATCTATTGCTGTTTTCCAATAATCGTTTTTTAAGTTGCATTATAAGTTTATAGACTACCTTATGCCACTGTCCACGGCAGTAGGAAACAATGCTTCGGATTTTTTTGCCATATCCCAACACTTGTCATTTTCCGTTTGTGGTTACATGAAAAGAGCTTTCCACATGAATTGCACAACAATTAAATTAAAAGCGGATACAAAAAATAATCCATATGACAGCCTTTTTAACAATATCTAAAATAATGGTCATTCTACTAAATGACCACGTGTACGTATGTAGGCTGTCCGAATGCTCATATATCTATTGTCCCATATCCCACTCATTGATGAATAGGACGTCTTAACCAATAAGTACTCTTTAATGTGAGATGTTATTTGGGATATGGTTTCCAAAGAAGCATTCAGAAATATCTATTGACAAATTTGGAAATTGATTTACTTACATTTGCCCAAAAAATATTTGAAATACCAACGCGTTTGATGTTCGGGATTTTCCAATATTGGTGTGCTGGGCGAGCCGAATACCTGTAAATAGAAGAAAAAAACGAAAACAATGAATGAGAAGGTATAAAAGCATTTGGAATTCTCCAATTGAAGTCCTCAGCATGATAAAATGAAATCCATTTTGTCGTTGTGAATTAGTTTTCAGGACGAAGGATATGGTCTGGATGTTTATTTTCAATTGTAGTCGGAGGATATTTTTATTCTGTTTCGTTTTCTTTTTCTCAATTCATGTTTGTCAACTGCAATCAATCAAATGTCAAATACTTTAAAACGTACATTAGGTTAAATCCTAGTAAACACACACACATATATGTATGTGCAGATATGTGTGTACACATTGTCTTGATTTAATATGGATGTTATGTGTTTGTGAAAAATACAAAGCATGCCATTACCAGACATGTGAATGAATCGGATTTGTGGAATTGCTGCATATGTATGTGTACGTGTGTGGGTGTTGCTATGAAATAAATAAAAACATTATGTTATTTGTGCCAGGCAATGGAGATGGTTTAAGCCGCTGTCGAAATTAATGTTTTTAATTCGAAAAACATATGTAATTGGTTTGGGTTTTCTAATACCATCTAAAGCAATGTATTGCCAGGAATTATATTATCCTGAGGCTTGATTAAATTGCTGTGTTATTTTACCTACTCTATTAGGTGATTGAGGGTACATGTCATTTCTTTTTCGATATTTTGAAATTTTCATTGGATATGCTATGAAGTCCATTACCTTTGAAAATGTGATGATGTTCTTGTCAGATATGGAACACATGTTCTTCTGATTGCCAGGCAAAAGAGAATAAAGTGCATGTGCCTCAAAAATAACCTTGGAGGAATTCATTGAAAGGAGTAGTTTTAAGTTTCACTTGTGGGACATGTGATCACATATTATCTATGATAAGGAAATCAATTGTGGTCTGTAAAATTGATTCCGAGTGCTAAAAGCTTTTCATCTACAAGCACGTAGCCAAAGAGGTATTAAATATTTCAGATATAAAAATGGTCATATTTAAACAAGAGAATAGCGAAGGGTTTGAAACATAGACACATAGAGAATATTTGACAAATAATTCAATGCCAAATACCTAATTTCAAAGAATTCAGATAGAAAATGTGGCTTAAATGAGAATAATCGGAGGTACGTTATGTGGATGCTATACGAATACATTGTCCGATATAGCTAGTTTTCAACAGAAATTATCCCCGATAAAATTCAAACTATGCCACGTATTTTATATCATGATTGTCGTCTTCCTAATTTCCATCTTAAAAAGTTCAAAATTGTTCCCACTTTTGATATAACTGCTAAATATTGATAACGGATAATTAAATATATTGTGTACAGCACAACCCAAAACACATCTTGATGTCTTCACTAAAACAATGATAACCAGTAAGGAAAGTTCAAAAGTCGGGTGGGGTGGAATATTTGACACCGTACATCACTATGCGTATTTATTAGAGGTCCCGTAACAAAAAAAATTATATTGGGTACTTAAGTGAAGTAGATCGTACAAACTATGAATTTTATTTGAATAGCTTTATCATGGCTTTAGATTAGTCACAATTTGGGAACTATATCCAACTCTGGTCCGATTTTCAACAAATTTGATGGAGGTTTGATATGACCTCGATAAGAATAATATTCAACAAGTAAGTAAAGGCTATAGTCGTGCGGGGCCGACCATGTGATACCCTACAACACTGCAATTAGTTCGAAGTCCCCTTATGTCCAAAACCATTTTGGAAGATTTCGTTTTTGAAATAATGTCAAAAAATAATGCCCTTTAATTTGACCCTAACCCTACCGCCATACAAAATATCATAAGGATCGGACGATTATTGCGACATGCATATAATACCCTCAAAACGTAGTGTTGCGGAGTTTAAAAATTTAAAAAATTCACAATTCAAAATTGGAAGTCAAATTGAAAAAATCGCATGCGATAAAAAATATGACAACAATTGAAAAAAAATGGAACAAAATATATTAAATTTTTATTGCTTTATTTTTCCGCGAATTTCCTAGAATTTATCCGTTTCTAGCAAGAGACCATTCCGAATTGATGAGAATTGCGAAAATCGGCCCAGCCGTTCTTGACTTAAAAGCAGAAAAAATAAGATCTAATCTTTTACGTACCTATTTTGCTATATATCCGATTTCTTGGCTATCTACATCACTTTAATGGTCAGAAGTGACCTTTTAATGTATTTGTGATATGTCTGGGATTAAAAATATTCGCGGTTTAGTGGAAATTTTCTTATTTCCTTACATAAAAGTTGGGGTCTATTTTATCCGCTAAATATTGTCCGATGACTGCCCATGTAAATTTCCACGTCGATTGATTCAAAATTGTGGCTTATAGAGCAACTGCAATATGAAATTTTTCTGTTTTTGGTCCATTTTAACCCCTGAATATTGTGCAATCATCTCCAAAAACAATAGGGTTCTATTCTGACCATAATCCCACCTCCATTTTCAATTTCATGAGGATCGGGCTATAATTGCAACCTGTACAGTGATTACAAATTAACATGGACAGACGGACGGACGGACATACATAGCTAGATCGACTCAGCTCGGCGAGATAGGATGATCCATACATAGTGTCCTATGTCGGGGACCAATATTTCGAGGTGTTACATAATTTTTGGCCCAATCAAACTTATAATACTCCCAACACATAGTGTTGTAGGGTATAAAAATATTTACTGGAGTAATAAATATACCGGACCGAGTTTCACCAAATGGAAAAAAATGGTTGAATATGAAAAATCTATCCAATTTTGGCAGACATTACAAATATGGTGGACAATAAAAATCGGATGAATATGTGTATCAAAGCTATATAAAAATCGTCAAATCGGATAAATATATCTAAATAACTGAACCGATTGTTGCAAAAATCGGAAGTGCCAAGATTCAGTTCATTTGGGCTGATATTAGCCATTTGGTGCACATTAAACCTGATATCGGATAAAGATATATATGGGAGCTATATCCAAATCTGAACCGATCTTTACAACATTTTAGCCACTTTTTTTCTGAGCTGTATCTGATATCTGGTAAGGTTCACTGTTGTGGAGTGCACACATGTGAGGGACAACAAACCTCAAATCGGATGAATAATATATATGAGAGCTATAGAGCTGTATTTGAATCGATTTTCAAAAAAGTTGAAGTACTTATTTGTAGGCTATATCTAAATCTGATCCGATCTCCATAAAATTTGCCATAGGTATTTCTGTATCTCATATCTGGTACCAAATATTATTCTTTTGAAGTGCATATGACGCTTGTGAGGGACCTAAAGCCCCAAATCGGATGAAACATATATATGAGAGCTATAGCTATATCTGAACCCAGTGTTACCAAACTTGATGCTTCTTTAATTAATTCGGTCGGCAGTGTCAAAATTTAGTCCATTTCGGTTAATATTAGCCATTTGAATGTATATGATATCTAGTACCCATGATTACGAATGTTAGGCACTTAAACACTAAATCAGAGCAAACACATATATGGGAGCTAAAGCTTAATCTCAACCGATTTTTACAAAATTTGATAAATTGCTTCTAGACTTAACTCGGTCGGATGTGCCAAAATTCAGGTCATTTGGCCTGATATTGGTCAGTTGGACCACAGTTAACCAGAAATCGGTTGAAAATATACAGGATGAGCTAAAAAAAAGTTAAGAATTGTTCGAATTGGTCACCTTTGGCACGAATTATGGCCTTCAAACGGCCAATGAAACCATGACACGCTGCCCGAATGTTGTTGGCCCATTCCCGGCGAAGCGATTGCTAGAGGTGACCGACACTTTGGTATTTTTTAGTGCCAACCTTGCTTTCCAAAATACTCCAGACACAATAGTCCAACAGATTTGTATCCGGAAATTTTGGTGACTATTGTGCGCTGGAAATAAAGTGAGGAACCTGATTTTTTAACCTTTCTTGGGTGACGCGTACTTAGTGCGATGGTACTGAGTTCTGTTGGAATGTCCAAGGTCTGCGGCCAAAATGTTTGCGTGCCCAGTGCTTTAATACACCCTCCAGAATATTTTCGCGATAATATCCGGCATTTATTCGACCATCGGCTGTTATGGCGGCCCACATCATCACCATGGCCGGCGCTTGAGTTCTTGTGGCCAGCGGAAGGTGCACATTTTAAGCTGACTTCTTTGGCAAGCAAACACGATCATTTTGTTTGTTTACCAACTGCTGGACAACGAATGTTTTCTCATCGCAGAAAACCAAATTCGGCAGTTCCCCACTTTCCGCCAAGCGAAGCAAATCTCTAGCTCTTTTGGGTCTATTTTCTTTCTGTTGCGGTGTAATTTCTTGCACTTTTTTAATTTAAATGGCTTTACCCCGAGCTAATTTTTCAATATTTGCCGAATGGAATATTGCGATATGTTCAGCTCACGAGCCATTTTTCTGCTGATGTTGCTGTTTTCTTCCGTCCACTTCCTTGACGTCGGGCTATGCTACCAGTATCACGGTAACGAGCGATGGCATGAGACCCAAAGGTTTATTCACATTTAAATGCAGGAGTGCTCCAACGATAGCCACTTGTGGTTTTCCAGTCAAATATAAAGAAATGACACTATTACGCTTGAATTCTATCACGAATAACTTTTTTTCTGGAAAATTCAAACCGAAATGCTTTTATACGCTTGTAAACAATATAATGAGCTGTCACTGGAATAATTTTAACAGCTGTCGGACGAGTGTCTTAGAAATGACAGCAGTCTGAAGTTGGTTGCAGTTTTTTAATCTCGCCCTGTACATCTTTCAAAAGAATAAAAAAGGAAAGAAAAAAAAATATTCGCATTTTTTTTTTGGTATATAGTGAGCGATTTCCTTAGATTTTGTCCTTTTCTGGTCTAGGGGTTCTTGACTTACTAGCTAACTTACATCAAATTCTTTTACACATAGATTGTACCTATTTTACTAATATTTAATAACTTGACTATCAGCATCACTGTAACAGTCAGAAGTGACTTTTACGTGCAT